ATTGCGAAAAATGAACGCTAGATAAGGAGTCAATTTTATAGGTTGGCCAAAAAAGCTCATTAAAAAGACAGCATCTCTTGTTGATTTAAATATCTTGGCATTATGCTGCAAGGTTTTAAATATTTCGATCCTACTTAAGTACCATTTTTAAAATCGATGACACATTTTTAGCATTTTGGTTAGCTTTCCATGAGATAGCATTTCTATTGTCTTTGTGGATAGTTGGGTGGCTTTCTAAGGTCTGACGGATAAACAGGGATATCTAGTTTGGCGATACGGATCCCGACGACTGTGGGGTTGATGGCGGAATTTAAAAAATGGCCCTTTTTCTGGTTGCATTGCGGTGAAGTGTAACGACTCACTGTTATAGCTGCGAAGGAGGCAAGTGATACTGCCATCCCACACTACGAACACGTCAAACTAAGCCGAATCAAATACCCCGGATATGAAAAAATTGACTAAGGATCCGGCCTAGGGAAGAAAAACGATTGGAAAAAGATGTCCACTATTGATTCGATATGAAAAGCACTCAAAGTGTGGCGGCAAACAGTTATATGCCAACCTAAACAAAAGGGGAAAAATGCAAGTAACAGAAAGTTGTAGCATATTGAATTAGTCTAAGGAATTGTTTACAAATGAAAGTACGACAGACTGGTAAAAAAGTCCAAGTATGGCAAAGGGCTGCCGCAGTACCCCAGGCTAGACCGAAGGCTAGCGTTCGACGACACCAATGGTTAATGCAGTGCTAGAAAACATGAGGGATAAAGGGGTCGGGAAAGTGGACGCGACGACTAATACGCAAAGTCCGAATGTCCCTGGCATCAGAAAAGTTAGGATTGGGGGGTGGTGGTTGTAGAAAAGGGTAGGCAAGGTTGAGAAAGGTTATGGGGAGGTGGAGGAGCATGAGACAGGGGTCAGCACAATGGTGTCCATGGGGCAAGTCCGGCGGCTTCTTGACGACAGCACCCTTGACCCGATCGTCACTGATCACGTCCTCCTTCGCACAAAGAACGATCCGGTAAGTCTTGGCGTTGCGTGAAGAACCCGGAACGGACCTTCCAGTATGCATCGGACCTCCCTGTTCCAGTTTCAGCATCCCTCGTAACCTTCTATTTATAGATAATCCTATATGGGGGAGAGAAAACATATTTCAATTGCCTGTTCCACTGAATTAATAAAACCTGCGGAATGAGAAACCTTGGACATAATTACGTCGTTTTTCTCCAATTTTATCCGATCCCCTGCAATTTCCGCATAAGGCTGGGCGTAGTACATTAGAAGCTGTTGCTTTGGTAGTGCATTCTGCTCTAAGGGACATAGATAAGGGCTGTTATGCAAACGCATGTGCTTTCCTCGACTATTCCTCAGCCTTAAATACGATCCCGCGCCATCTACTCCTTAATAAAACTTGTACATGCGGATTTCCCGGCTGCTCTGTCTCTTATCTTGGGAACTATTTCAAGTGCCGCACTCAATTCGTTAAATGCAGCAAGCGAATATCCATGGTAATTCCCAATAACTGTGTTTTCAAAGGGTCTACAATATCCCCTCACATCTTTGCCCTCCACACTGACGACCTACGATTGCCAAACGAATGCTTATTTGTTAAATATGCTGATAATATTTTTGTTGGCCATCCTCTCAAAAGTTAGATACATCTCCGAATACTGAAGGATGCCCTGGACCAGGTCTCAGCATGGTCGGCAGCATATGGCCTTCTACTTAGAAATCGAAAATCAGTCCAGTGTGTTTTTCGACTGCCAACCTCTCCCAGTCCTGAAACCATTGACGCTCTGCCCAACGAAGTATCCTAATTCTGGTATCTTGGTGTTACTCTGGCGTCTAAACTCTCGTTTACTCTTTATATTGAAGGCCTTTCTATTATATTTTATCCGCCGCTCGCGTTCATATTGCACACCACAAGACCTAGTCTGGTGATTTATAGATGCTTACATTCCCCTCTCATTCTTTACTGCTCTCGAGTTACTTTTCCCGCTTTATTAAAAAATACCTGGTCATATTTAAACATATACTCTGAATTTTTTCTTCAGCTGCCGGTGTTTCCTATGTTTTTTAAATGATATTATAATCGAATGACATAGTAAACTGGTCAAGCAATTTGCTAATCGCATCGTTAGTGAGGTCGCTCACCCTCTCCACTCTGAACTATTGGCTAAAATGTCTTCCCGTACTATGCGCCGGAGCTTCCGTCATATGCCTTGCCGTACATGGGTATATCAGCACCCTGTACTCCCATTCCGGGCACGCTAACTCACGTGTGAAGAAACGAAATTCAGAAGTTGAAAGTCCCCTGTCTCCATAGCAGATGAAGATACCATCTAAACCTTTAACTTTGAGTATTGTATGACCTTTTACTTTACCTTATCCCTTGCTTTCCGTGAAAAGAACCATTTTTGCTGAAAATTTTGGATATCATTTTCAAAATAGAGCATTATCTCTTACTCTAGCAATGAATTCAACAACTGGTGTTGAGCACAGGAAAAACTATCCGTGATCATCACGCCCTGGTCCTGGTCTTTGCATCAATTTATTGTACACGCATCAGAAAAACTTTGGAACTAGCCTTTGACCATTTTATTGTACACGCATCAAAACAACTTTGGTGCATCTACGGGGTTTCATTTTCCAGAGATTATTGGCATACGCCACCTCCGAATTGAATGCCGCCGCGTGGATCACGGGCAAAACAACCAGGAACAAACCTCCCCCCTACCGACTTGGTTGGTCTAGTCTTTACGGTACAAAAGAACTCTTAAAATCTAACAATTTCCTCATGAATAGTGCAAAACGAAATTCGATTTCCACTTGCTAATTAATAGATTTGTAGTGACCAGCTCCACACAAAGTGCACTAGTGAACGCTCGTCATGACTAGCTCACGTCGAAGTGCATTTTGGGTTAAAACTATAAACCTAAATCAGTATTCGATAGGAAACAACTGTGTTTACGGTAAGAATGGTTCAATTCCATACTTATAAAACAACATTTATAGCTTGTAGTAGACACAGTCTGTTAACTTAAGGGTGTAGGCACATGAAGTTATGCATTACAAAAAAACCCATCGATCCGTTGCGTTGCGGAGGATTTTGCACGTATTTACTGAAACCGAGCAATGAAAAGCTTTATCACCACAGGACTGGTGAGCGCTCAGATATCCGCTGCAGCACTCCGATTAATAGTCCGTTTTCAGGTTAATGTGCTCATTATTGCACGTACGAGCATGTGAAGGCCGATTGGCTGCGGTCCGACCTACCCACGCAGTCACAGCTGACCTAAATGACAAAATTCCGTGTAGATTTCGATGGAGGACAGGAAATTGCAATATAATGTCATTTGTATGGCATAAGCAGGGTGCTTCAGTAATCGACCATGCGGCCACTTATTCCTGCAGACTTCGGTCCAGCCTAACATGTCCCCTTCTTTTCCGTGTTCAAGATGCGCACAAATCAGGTGATGGCAGACCGGCCGGTAAAGATTGAGGACAAAGGCCGAGCTGCTTGTCTTTCGGACGTTTAATCATTCGCGTACGACCACTGCCACTGGTTAGTCAGTTTTGTATGCCGTAACACAACTTAACTATTACTATTTAAATGGTAATTGACTCTTACTTACTGCGCCAAAGCAGTTCTAAGACCTCCCGTTGTCTCATTCAGTGCAACCACTCGGCTAACGGAAACAAATTCAAATTTTGTTCTATATTAAGAAGAGAAAGGACGACATATGAGTGCGTAAACGATGTTTACTCCCGAATAATTGAAAAGGTTCGCGTTCCAGGTATCTATATGGATAAAGAAGAAGACTTGTCGAGCACCGGATCAATAGATTTATTGTCCTGAGCT